GGGCAAATTAGTCACTGTTGGAGTTATCTTTTACCCCAACGTTGCTTCAATTTGTGTTCTGTTCTATTTTGAAAAAGAACAATACAAGTGAGCTCAAGAGCTTTGGACTTCGAATTTAAAATGTTCAAATTAGAATCTTGATTTAAAAAAAAAAATCTAAAAACTTTTAGTTGGTATGGTAGAAATTTAAATATTTAATTTTGACATCAAATTAAAATTTTGAAATTAATAAATATTAAGTCAATCAAGTTTCTATTGATTCAAATTAAAATATTGCTAAAGTCTGAGCACTTAGGAATTAAGTTGGGGGAAAAGGGTGCAATGGATCGATGAACATGAACAGGCCTGTATTATATCTATTCCATTTAGTGGGAGAAAGAAGAAAGTGAAATTAATTAGAGCATCTCACCAATAATTCTACTTCTAAAAAGCATGTAGAAATAGATACATCAGATTGGTTAAGAAGATGCCCACTAAAGAAGAATCCTAAACCAAAGTGGGAGAGATGAACTTTAAAATGAACGAGATAGAGATACTTTGTTAAGGTTCTCAAAAACCATCTAACACTTTAATTAGTCTACTTTGGACCTAATTTTGTTCTTAATTTTATCCAAGTCTCTTTCTATGCCATTGTTAAGTGGGGAATCCTTTTGTCCGAGCTTGATTTCTGGATGATACCTTTGTCTTTAATTAATACTACCAATGAGTGCAGTTTTTTATAGTCTGTCCTCAATAAAAAAAAACTTTGGGTACGAAAAGATAAAAAAATACCATTAATAAATCCTTGGTGCATATCTCATTCATTGATGACATTTTTGTCTCTTCATACCAAAAACTGATTTCTTTTTCTTTTTTTTTTCTTTTTTTTCTTTTTATTCAAGGTGGACGGTACAAAAACATTTCTAAATACTAACTCTCTTCTCACCATTAAATACTGCTCTATTTGTCTAACTTTAATTGGTTTAATTTGATTTTTTGACTTTTTAAATATTTATATTTTTTATATTATCATTAAGTGAAAAATTGATAGTTGTTTTGAGATGCGAATTAAGAAATAACTACATTGGTAGCTAAATTCGTTCTTCCAGCTTCGAGGATGACGAATTTGAACTTCTCCACTGACGATAAATAAAAAATGAAAAAAAAAAAAAGAGAGAGGAAAAACTAGGAGGTTCTAGTTAGTTCATAAAATCATACTACCTTGGTTAAAATTTAGTTGGCTTAATTTAACTCTTTTTGACTTTTTAAATACTAATTTTATATGAAAATTTAATAAAATATATGAATGATATGATTAAATTTTTTTTTAATATGTAGATCTATATGAGTAATTTTATTTAATAAAAAAATTTTCAATTTTATTTATATACTATGTTAAATTTTTATACATTAGGTATGCAATTTCATTTCTGAAGTCGGTGTTATTATATGAAGGTCAATTTAATTAAGCATTTTCTTTCCATATATTTTCTTCCTCTACTTTTGTTCAACTGCGTGCCTCATCAAGACCATAATTATATCATAACCGAAAAAAAAATTATGTATTAGATGTAGTTTATTAATGATGGACCACTAATCATGTTCTCTAAATAGTAGTGATTAATTTAATTACGGTTAGATGCAGAGAATATTTGACTATAATTAATCACAATTAGCAATGTCGTCAGAAATCGGAACATATATATAATGATCTTTAATTTAATATTGAATTGGGAAATGGACATATTCCTTCTTACAAATTGTATCAATCTATTTTTTGAAATTTGATGCATTTGAGAATATATATTATATACAAAAGGCATTAATTACTTAATCCCAGCCTTGTGCAGCAAGTTTATTCTTATTTTCATATATTTTCTTGTACATTTGTACGAACTAAATGTAGTATTTATTATGTACTACAAATATATTTTTTCATATATATAATTATGATTTTAATTCTTTGGCAAATTAAAGTATTTTTTAATAAACAAAATTAAAGTACTTCGACTTTATCTTTGTTTAATGAGCTTTATAAATGAAAAGAAGGGAAAACCAAACACCTGAGATATCATTTCCTTTTTTTTTTAATGACTTCATTTTTTTTTTTGTTAATTACTATTAGGTACTACCCTTTTGTACATCTAACTATCTTCTTTTTTTTTCTATTAGATGAATCAGAAAAAAAAATATGTACTTAAGGAAATTAATAGATGGCTAAAAAAAAGGAGATTAGATTACCAAATTTAGAAACTCAATATCCTCAGTTTTTTTTTCTCTCTTCAACATCATACAAGTCTTTGTTATTATCCCACAAGTTGGTCCTCAAGATCAATTGAGTTATATATTCATCACAAATAATAATAAATGGGATGCAAATTTGGGACCAATGATATGACATAAATTATGTCATTAAAAAATTAAAATATAAATATTTTATTATTTAATTATTGAATCTTTTTATTTTTTAAAAACTCATGATATTATATTTATTAACTAATTTAATGACGTGATATATATAAATCATGTCAATAATCTTAAATTTTCGTTTTAAATTTTCTTCATCCCTATCATTACTCATTCATCACCTATCCAGGTCATAAAAAAGAAGAAAAAGGTCTCTAACGTTTTCAAATAAAAAGATCTTGAGAGAAAAAAGAAAAAAAGAAAAAAAGAAAAAAATTATCAATGAATCGAATTCCATAATACTATGGTCTAGAATAATCCCTCAAGTTCTTTTCACATCTTCCTATTTATTAATATTAACTTTCTCTGATTATTCGGTATCTGAATTCATAATATTTGATTAAAGATGAATTAAGCATCTAATTATCTTTAAATTAAAAAACCAAAAATTTTAGCAACAAATAAGAACTTTAATTTCACGTTGTTTGGCACCTGGACCTCACGGCTTAACGACCATAAGTCGATTTGTAAGATGCATTCTTCAATCTGAGGGTTGGGGTTCGATTTCCCTTGTTTCTAAAATTGTAACCTTGTTCAAAAAAAAAAAAAAATTTCACGCTATTTGGTGCAAGAGTGCTTTAAATTAATTCGTAAACTGGGTCATTTTCACAATTTAAGTGTGTAGGGGGATAGTTTAACAAGGGTATACAATCATCGAGACAATGACCTTTTATGCTACCTATGAATACTGTATCATGCATGGGTAACCAACCATCCATCAAGTGATCAAATCCATCACCGAATGCCACGTGTGTAGACCCCCCACATATGTGATTTTTGAATGGTGATGATAGGCCAACAGAGTTTCTAGGTATTTTATATACTTGCAATACAAAGGGACAGGACTTGATTAATTAGGAAACTAATTAAAATAGTTTTGATGTCGTTTTGAGTGACGTAATCTCAAGAAAAAACTAGAAACCCTAGTAGTAGGTAATCCAACTTTAGTTTTTTAATTTTTTTTAAATAATAAAAAAATTCTAATTAATTAATTGGTTCCTTTTATCGGGCTTATAGGGTTTGGTTGCATCTACTACACGGAGCACACGTGCGGGGATGCAATTCACAAATTCAAATTTACACCATTTTTTAAGCATTTTTAAGTTCAAAATTATTGAGAGCACTAAAATTTGGGAGGGGACCATTTCCTATAACTCGATGAGTTTTCAGTCTTAATTTTCCTTAATTAATCCTTTTGAGGTTTAGATATTGCTCCCCACAACCCTCTAAAAAAGCAGGCAAGTACATGAATTTTTTCTATAGGAGAAAAATGACTTGTACCAATAATGAGAAAATTAACCGTCATTTTGTCTTTCAATATGTACATTGACAAATCTCTACCATGACAAACCACATAAACTTAAATAATTACCTTTATATCATTTTTATGATGGGCATATATATGTCTTTATGTATACAAGCAGATACAAACACACACATACATACACATCTATAAAGTAAGGTTTGAGTTGTAGAAAGTTTAAGAAGTGATAACGTGTCTCTATTTAACAGGATATTGCTGTTTTTTCTCTTTATAGAGATGGCCGATCATAAAATGGGCAATAATCCAGAGAGGGATGGCTACAAGTACAACTTTGGAGGAGGAGTTAGTGGTGGATTCACTTTGGGTGGCTCGGGTGAAGATGGCATCATTAGGGACCAGGACAGGCTGCTTCCAATAGCCAACGTGGGGCGGATCATGAAACAGATTCTGCCACCTAATGCGAAGATCTCAAAAGAAGCAAAAGAAACCATGCAAGAATGTGTGTCGGAGTTCATCAGCTTTGTCACCGGCGAAGCTTCCGACAAGTGCCACAAGGAGAAGAGGAAGACGGTGAACGGAGACGATATTTGCTGGGCGATGGCAACTCTAGGGTTTGACAATTACGCAGAGCAGTTGAAGAGGTACTTGCATAGGTATAGGGAGCTGGAGGGAGAGAGGGCTAACCAGAACAAGGCCGGCAGCACCCACGAAGAAGTTTCCAATTACTCAACAGAACCGCCAGGGAGATCCACCGTTCCTCCTCCGACAAATTCTCCGATGACATTCAATGTGTTTGACAGAAAGAGTAGCTCTCTGTTCTAAAAAGAATTGTGTTCTCCATGTGCCTGGGAGATATCTCTAAAATTGTGTGAGCTTACAAAAATCTTATGTTAATTTGTTTGGTTTCTAACTTTGACTGCTGTTGTCAGCTTAAGAATTATGAGAATTTGAAGTTCGTCCTTCTGTTTTTCTCTTTCTCTTTTTGATCCGCACCAATTTGTAGGGTTTGATGAATTTTGTTCTTCTTCTTTTTTTTCTTTTTTTTTTTTTCCTTCTAGAGCTAATTCTCTCAATTTTTGATTGGTCAAGAAATTAAAATTAATCAATTTCATTTCAAAGAGAGAAAAACTAAGTTGAGGAGGTAGAGGAAATCAATTAATCAAGTTACTACAAATTTTCTTGATAAATTTCAACTCTCTGATTTTTAGAAGGTTTTTGCCCAAATTATCATTCGCCTTTCATAATAAGTGACGTTTTATAGGTTTTTTTTTCTTTTTCTTTTTAAATGTCATTTCTCACTTCTCAAAATTTAATGTATTATTATTATTTTTTCAACTTCTTCAATATCAGCCACCACCAACAAAGAAAACGTAGAAGGGTGATTGAATTAAAAGAGTAATTTGGTAATTTAATTGCGGAAACCTTTATTTATTTATATATGAAATAGTATAGTTGTATTCTCAAATGATCAAACCAATCACATACAATTCAAGCTATGTACGCTTTTGTCATATGGCTAAAGAGGAAAAGTAAAAATGCTAAGAAGGACTTATTGCACTAACACAAGAAGGCAAATGCTCATAAAAAAATATAAATAATTAAGTGTAAAAAGCTTTTAAATATTATCAAACATCATAAAGGTATCAACAGTATTATGTAGCATAGAGAAAGGTTACCGTAGAACTTTTTATCACCTCTAACAGCCACATCTATCTTAGTACCATTTCTTAGCACACAGTCTCAATTTCTAAGGCAAAAGATTAGATAAGTAACTTCATTCTTGATTATGTCATTGACATTTAAAGTTTACAATCACAATCAAACTAAACTCATTTAACCTCAAATCTATGTTATCTTTTTTCTCTAATAAAATTCATTAAAAAAGTAGACAGAGACTCTTAAAAGATAGGTGACAAAGCGTCTTTATCCTCTCTAATCACTAAAGGAGAGAGAGGCGGCAATTAAAGAAAAAGAAAAACCAAGAGGTCGAGGAGGAAGGGGATGAGGGCAAGGGGAGGCGGCTACTAGGTAACCTTTTTAATTCTTGTACATATTATGAGACAGGGTAGGTGCAATTACTAACTAGCTACTATTAAATTGATCTAAAACAATATTTTGGCTTAATTAATTTGTCCATGATTTAGAATAAGAACTAGTATTTGACAATTAATTAATCAACAATTTTTGGGCTTTAAATTTTTTTAAAAAAAATTTGCATTCGTTCATCTCTATCTCTATACTACTCACTGTCAAACGTAATGTAATATGCGTAGGAGATTTGTTACGTTTTCCTCAATCAAATCGTACATATATAGCATATATACTTAATTCATTTATGAAAAGCATGCATCAAAATTTAATATGATATTTTGGCCGATCTACATCCCCATATTAGGATGTCCAAATTGGCACATTGGATCTTGTTCATATAGACAAAATATAGCTACTATCATGTATATAACGACTTCAATCATTATATTTTATCATATACCAATCCTACAATCAAAAATCAATCAAATTCCTAATTTTTAGTACTAATTTAATATTATTGAAAACAAAATTTAGACATCCCGTGTTTTGTGACAAACATGTCGATACATGCACACTACCTCCAATCCCCACATAAACAATTCATCTCAACTTCTAATAATCACATATACCGTCTAAAGAATGACTATAATTGTTCAAATCCTAGGTTTCTTTCTTCCTTCTTTGGAAACGTCCCTAGTTAGATATTGATTTAGGAGTTAGGACCACACAATTTAATGTTTTAGCTTCTCAAGATTTTTAAAATAGTGTGCCTGCGCAACTAAGAATTTGGACTCAAAATCGTCTTTGACACTATTCATGAATCTCTGTAGAGGGAGACGATGAAATATAAATATAAATAATAGTAGGAAGACTTTTTGGTGTGTCTCGCTTCAAACTCTTCTCTGCTTACCTAATTAACTAAAGAAAAATTTTAAACTGCCCAATATACACTGTTCTTGAAATTTGGAAAAAGAATTATAATATATTTTGGGGGAAAATGATATATATAGTTAAAGTTGCATGTTCTATAATTTAAATTGTAATTTAAAATATAAAACATGAGTCATTAAATAGGAGGTGGCCTCCTAAATCAAAAGATTCATTTTTATTTAATAATAAATATTAGACAATTCTACTTATATATTTTTTTAAATATAATTATACAAAAATTTAATCTACTCTTTTATATATCACTCATCATCATATTTTTCTTCTTTTGATGTAAGATTTTCGAGGCATTACATAGGAGGTGGCCTCCTCAATCAAAAGATTCATTTTTATTCAATAATAAATATTAGACAATTCTACTTATATATATTTTTAACATAATTATACAAAAATTTAATCTACTCTTTTATATATCACTCATCATCATATTTTTCTTCTTTTGATGTAAGATTTCAGCACGTTTGTACTTCTTCTTCTTCTTCTTCTTGTTGCCAACTTAGAAGTAGTATATCCATTTATCTTTAAAAAAATGTATTTTTTATTTTATAAAAAATAGTAGACTTTTTAAATTTTATCTTTAAATTAAAAATTTTGAGATAATTTTTATCTTTATTTATTTTATCTTAAAAAATTAAAAATATTTTTATAAATAAATAATTAGAATGAAGAAATAATGGTAAGATTAAAATAAAAAATAATTTTTAAATATAAAAATAACTATTATTTTATAAAAATTCTAAATAAAAAATGTTGACTCAATATACTCCAAGAGGAGGGGTGAATTGGAGTTCTAAAAATTCTCCCATTTTTGCAACCACAAAACCAAAAATAAAGAGAGTAGAGAAGAAAAGCTTGCTCAATGATTTTATAGAGGTTCGGTCCAATCACTTGAAACCTAATCCTCAACCTTGGCTTCATTCACCAAGGATTTCCTCCATACTCTTTATTAACAACAACAAGGGTGATTTAAAGGAGCCACTCAATCCTTTTACAAGAAGAAAGGTGTTTCTCTCAAATCTCACCCCTTTACACTTAAACCCCAAGAATCCTCTCTATAGATCACTCTTGAAAGATTAATCACACCCCCAAGATCACTGACAAATAGAACAAGAAGAGGATTACAAATAAATATCTCTCAAAGATCAAAAACTCAAGTTAAAGCTCATATAGGTATGTAAAGACATTCAATGCAATGTGCTCTAAACCTCCTTCAGATCTTCTACCAACTATATTTATAATCCCATGATCAAAAATAGCCGTTATTAGCCGTTGGGGGTCATTTAATGCTCTACAAGACGCAAAGCTCGAGTTGTAGGATTGTCAGGATAGCCGGCTTAACTTTCTAGAGCTGGCTTTGCACAGCCGGCTCACCATTTTTACAGTCGGCTTTGCGGGATTCTGCACATTCTATTTTCTCAGTAGAGTTGGTTGCAAAATGCAAAGCCAGCTTTGCAAGTTTGCTGCACATTCTATTTTCTTTCACAACCGACTGCAAAAAACGTGGAGTCGGCTTTGGTATTTCAACTTTAAAAAATATTAATTATTCTTTAAATAAGTCGACCATTGTGCATTAAATGCACCCTTACAGCT